AGGGCAGCTCTCAAGGAAGTGCTGTCAGAGAAGCACATGAATTTAACTTTTTGTATAATAGCCTGAGGGCCAGCCATAGTCTTCAGAACACAACCTGGTCTCTAGCCACCCCCCTCACCTTATCGTTATACCTTCCTTTCCTCTGAGGACTACAGACTTCCCCAGCCACTCATGCTAGAAACAACCGACCACAAGCTCTCTACTAGGCTGCTGAGGAAGGAAAACCAAGCCAGAACCCAAACCCTCTTATGTGCACACTACTCTCTCCCTCTTCTCATCACCCTCCACAATGGTTTCTGCCCAAACTGCTTTTGCTCTAGTGGTCATGTTTTCTTCCTCCTGCAAGTGCACCTCCGGAAACAACCTGTCCATCCCAAGTGGTCTGTACCTCTGTCTTACTCATTTTTAAACATGCTGTTCTTCTGGCAAGACAGCCACCCCAAACACAAGAAGAGTTGAGATTGATCATATTTTGATATGAAATTCTTTTTGTTCAGTAACATGCCCAAACCTGAATAAATGTTGAGGAAAAGAACTGTTTTATGTAATAATTATAGAAAATTCTCTTCCTGTAAAATCCTGCCACAGAGATTGTTTGGATCCAGTAAGCGAGGTCAGGTTCAGACCCTGGGGAGAGTGGTGTATAGTGATAATAACACTTAGGATTTTTGCAGCATTCCTTATCCACAGATCTGAGCCCTGTCTTCAGTATATTACAACAGCAGGATATGTTATCTTATGCAAACTCCTTCCTAAATTTCACAATAGCTGAACCAAGCAGGAATCATTAAATTTGTGTGCTCTGCTGCTATGAAGGCTGAAAAACAGCCATACAGCTCCTTCTTTACTCTGCTTTTATCTAAGTAAACTACAATGTGGTCAGGGCAGAAGCACCGAACCGCTTCACTGTTTGCCAAGTACCTACATTACTTTTAATGGTGTACAAATATTAAAAATCATAAAAAGAATGGGAAAACAGAAATAGGTAACAGAACTCTCCTCCTTTAAGCAAATTACTCAACTGCAACCCCTACAAAATGCTCAGTTGCCATTTTTACTAGGTCTGGTTCAAAGGCCATTAAAAATGGGATTCTTTGCTCTGACATCAAAGGGCTTCAAATAGGGCTGTCTGTGACAGGAAGGGAGACAAGATTAACTTCAGCTTTTTGGCTATAGATCCCAAGCAAAAAGTAACAAATAATAATCAGAAGATAAGGTCTTCTTGCTTTCAGCACATTTTTTCAAACATCAACTACCATCTATTCAGCTGCTTGATTTGTGAGAATGATGCAGTGAGCTGTTAGTGTTTGCAGCTTAATATGATCTGTTTTTTCAGCAACACTAAAGAACATTGTGATTAAGAATGAAGCAAGAGAGTGGGAGAAGAGATAGGAATGGTTTATAAATGTAACAAATAGATTGATTGCTTTTACTTATTATCATATGTGTATTGATCAGGCTTTCCTCCTGGCCTGCTGTGAAGGTATCAATGCCAAAACATTCTCCACTGCTGCTGAAATCCTACCATACCTTTTAAATACAGGCCTTATTACTAGAGTAAATATAGCCTAGAAGGTTTAGCTTTTAAAGTGGTTTCTGTCAGTAACCAGCCTTATTTAAGCACATCTGGAACTTCTTTGTAACTCGTAACTATTTTGTGTAGTCACCTGTATGATGAAGGTTTAATGCTGTGGAATTACTGCTAGAGTCTGATTGCTACACAATCATGAGTGTATTTATAAAGTAGGGATACAAGGGGCAGAGAAGCACTAAACAAAACCAAGATTATGTTCCTAATTGAAATGGCAGTCCAGGGGTTTCAAATATAAAATACGGAATCTGAGCTTACTTTTCTTAACATCATCTGTTTCAGCTGCTCCACATTCCAGGACTCCCTCAGCCTTGACCTCATCTCTAAGATATATCCTCCCTTCAGTCAATTACAGGGTCTCAAATATACAGTATTTACACCCAGCAACAGGGTAAATCTGCTGATTGTCTTCCTTAAGCTGCTTGGGTGGCCCTAAGAACCAGGAAGTGTCCTGGCACAGGGGAATTCTGATTGTGTGGAGAGTGTAGCTGGCTCCTGCAGCACTCTGGGGCTGCTCCTACACAAGGGCAGGAAGGAGTGTGGTGGAGGTGGGACGATTAGAAGGTATAAAGCGAAGGATTCACTCCACACATCTTGTCCAGGACTCTCAGGATTTTTGCAAAGTACCCATCTACCCTAGAGGTGCTGAAACTGAGACAGAAAAAGGAACCTACAAAACTGAAACAATTTTAAAGGAACAGCTGTAAAATAATAGGAATTGGATCTCTTGGATTCCAATCTACACCAGCTGCTTTAATAGCTGCTACTTTTATTTCATGTTTCAACCAAATTAAAGTATAATCATTATGTAGATACACACAACCGTTTTGCATCACGTTGGCATCACCAACACTGATCGATACCCAGACATTATAGGCCCTGAAGTTTTAAAATCTATTTGTTGCTGTTTGCTTAACCAGCATTCTTCTGAGTGCTCTATTTATTAAATAAATAGCTATCACATTAGGGAATATGTGACACAAACAACTCGATAATCAATGTAAATAAGAATCAGGCCCAGAAGTATTAATTCCTTTTAATGAGAGTCTCTTTCTCCCTGTAGAGCCTATGTCTTACCTTCTTTCGAAGCTTACATTATGTCATTTGACCAAACCCTTACCCTTCTTAATTTCTGAACCCTCACAGCTAATTTCAGAATATATTTTTATTACTCCTTTTGTTCGCACAGCACTCAGTTATCAGTGCTGATACGGTCTCCCTGGCTTTCCAGAGATTAAACAGCACATGAAAGAAAACCTAGTGCAATGGAGAAGAGGCCTCCAAAACAGCATTTTAAAAAGTAAAACAGTATTTTATAGGGAAATGTGGTTCAATCACAACACGAGCTTTTGTACAGTAAAAAATGTATGGTACAAAATATACGATAGTTACATGCTTCTCATTTTAAACTTGTTGTTACTATGATTGTTTTACGTCACTGTTAAAAAAAGAAAAAAGTGTACTGAAGAAAATAAAATTTGTCATCAGAATTCAGACTTGTGGTATTTGTTACTTGTCACACCAACAACATATAACCAGTACTTCCTACTCACTGCTGTGAAGGGTTCTCTTCAACAGTAGTTGCACAATAAATCTCTATATTTTTTTCCTTTTCAGGTAAGTTAAAATGCAATCATAAGCCTTTATCAAAATTAATCCTGTATCCAATCAAATCAACATGCAGTATGTAGAACGTACTGATTCGAAAAACATTTCTACTTATGTAAGGTATGGAAATAACTTCAAAGCCATTCTTTTTTTCAGAGATGTTTTGTCATGACGATCTTAAAAGTCTTTTCAAAATTAGTTGATTCTATGATTCTATTTTTTCTCAAGACAGCAGCAGCTATAGACCTATGAAGCCTGTGACTCTGCTGAGGCTTGGGTAACAACCCCTTAGTCCAGCAAAGCAAATGACAGAAATACTCAGGTTGGTGCAGCTAATCATCCTCACAGATAACCAAGTGCTGACTTTCCTCGGTCAGGTGTGAACTTCAATATGATGGTAAGTTCAGGAATTCCCATAGGATCTATTTCCAACCCAGTGTATTAGTTATGAGAACACTGGCGACTGCAGTGAAACTAAAATTCGCAGAACTAAAATCCACAAGGTACTTTCACAGTCCTGTTTTCAGCATTTGAATATTGACAACACCTGAGCCAACTACTTGCAGCTACATCCAGATGAACATCACCGGGTACAAACCTTAGAAATCTATTGAAATCTTGGCTCTTCTAACTGGGTTTTAGAGATAGGGCATGATTAATGTTTCTGATGTTTCAACTTGGTATCACAAAAACTTGTCATTTGCACAAACTGTGCAAAACAAAAGCGATTTAAGTCTCCACAGACAGCTGTGATCTCTGTAAAACTTGGGGAAAAGGAACTTCTAAGTTCTTACCCTGCCTTTAGTATCCATTATGCGTTCTTATTAGCTGGGAGTATGGTCACCTAAAGTTCTCCCACAAAACTCTCCATCTTTAGAAGCAGACAAAGGGCAAGGTTTGACAACCTGACAAAACATGACATCTTAATGAGGTGGGTTTTTTTGTCAGTGTTGTTACTGAATAGTCTACACCAGAAGCTGGAATTGGGGGCAGGGCTGGAGAAGAATGTGGTGCAGTAGAGAATGGAGTTCCTCCTTCAGATAACATAACCCAAATGATCCTGCAACCGGTTTTCTACTCACAGAACAGATTTCAGTGAACATGTCAAGTTGGCACATGATACATGAAAGCACTTTTGGCTGCAGCTCTTTGTTAGTACAGAAACTTTCTTAAATAAAACATTGTGCTTTGACTTAAAATATTCACAATTAAATTTGCTAATCTTTCTCCATGTGCTATCTATGACTCGTTTCCTAGAACAGGATATATTATACATGCTACTGTAAGAAAAGGTATAGCCAATTCCCTTAACCCTTGAACCCTTACCTATTATTACTCAATAGCTGATATGATAATACCAAAAGGGTGCCACGTGCAGGAGTGTTTTCCTAGCATCAGTGTCAGATATTTCACACAATACGAAATCTCTTTTTACCTTAAATTTTGCGCTCTAGTCAGTTTTCCCCGCAAAGAGGTGGTCAGAGATAAACTGAGGGAAAACAAAGTATTAACAAATTGGTGACTTCATTTCACCTCGTAAATCACTGGCAGACTCCGAGGAAAAAAGCCTCAAACAATTCCCAAACCCATAGCCCACATCTGAGTCAAAACTTCGCGGTTTTATCACACAAGCAATCCTCTGTCCTGGAATTACACGGGGAACAACAGGATCAGCTTATTTAAACGTGACGAGCCAAGATCAGCATTAGCAGTGACCGCTCCGGGGGGGGGGGGGGTGGGGGGGGGGGCTGCTCCCCGGCCTTTTACCTGCCGGGTAGGGAGCGGGGGCCGGGGGGGGGGCTGCTGCCCGCGGGAGGGGAAGGCGGCTCTCGGCGGGTGGGAGGCGTCTGCAGCTGGAAAACAGCAGCTCCGGTTTCTGATCGGTTTGGGGGTGGGGTGGGAGGTGTGTGTGGGAAAAGCCCAGCGATGGATCTTCCCTGCTTTTGACAACAGTCTCCCCTTCAGGCCTGATCCTGCACTGGAGGGAAATAACTACGAGGAGAACCACTAATCACACCTCCGTGTGGGAACTACCTCCGGTAGCAGCGTGTGCCGCCAGCCCTGCCTCCAACCTGCAGCGGTTGCTCCGGGACGGGCTCGCTCGCCCCTGCAGTTCACCTTTGCCTGCAGTTCACACGCGTGCAATTTGGGTTTAATGGAGCTCAGTTTATTGTTCCTCTTTGGCCTCACAATTACGTCGACTGCAGGTAACGTGAATTTCTTTCTGTCTTTCTTTGCCGCTTCCACGCATGCACACAAAGGCTGGGTTTTGCTTTTTTTTTTTTTACTTCTTCCAAAAGGCTGTGAGCAACAGCTCACTCCCATGCGTGGTAAGTAGTAACCAGACGCCAAAGACATCGCTTGGCCGTATGTAGGTTTAAAACCAAACCACTGGCTAGCGATGCACGCCGAGCCCGCGGGGCCGGGGTGAGTACAGACATAACGGTGCTTTTCACAGCCCTGAACCCCCTCCGGCTGTAGCTGCCGGTTCGGGTCCCGTTACGGAGGGGGCTACAAGGCGCCTGGGGTAGGGGGATTAGCTCTTGACGGGGGCGCGAGAACTGAGCCGAGCTGAGCTATTCTTTCCCGCTGTGCAGGGACCGCGCTGCCCCGGCCCCACTCGCTGCCGGTACCGGTGGGCGCGGAGGCGCGCCCCGCGGCGCTGGGGCAGAAGGAGAGGGAGCAGAGCCAATCGGCGGCGCCGCCGGCCGGCGGCAGGGCCCGGGTGGACGGCGGGGGGCTGCGGACTCGAGCCCGGCGCTGCACTTGCTACACCTACAAGGACAAGGAGTGCGTCTACTACTGCCACCTCGACATCATCTGGATCAACACCCCCGAGTGAGTGAGTGGGAGCGGCGGGACGCGAAATGGCGGGCCGGGCTGCCGGGGCCGCGACCCCCGCGGCGGCGGGAGGTTCCCCGCCCGCCCCGGGGACCCCCGTGGGAGGCGGAGCCACCGCACCCCAGGTAGCCCGGGCCGAGGCACCGGAGCGGAGAGGGGCTGGGGCGGCTCTGCCCGCGGGGCCTCCTGCTCCTCCTCGCCCCGACACCTGCCGGGCCAGCCGGGGAGGGGGGGGTACGGCGAGAAGAACGGGCCGCGGATAAGCGCCTCCGGCCCGGCTGCCTCCGGTCCCGTTCGCGGTACCTGCAGGGTACGCGGCGGTGCGCGGGTGCCTCAGCGTGCGCTGCGTGTGCAGGCGCGTGAGATCAGCCACGGGGGGGAAAGGCCTTACTGTGCAGAAGAAATCTGCTTCCAATAAACCATTCACTGGGAAAGGAATAGTTTGTGCCGTTCGAAATAAAGAAAATAATCTGGAAGTACACTTTGTGATTAAAACAATTGTCGAAAACCTCAATCTACCAGATTTAAGATGTTGCAGAAGGCTCTCTTTTACAATAATGTTTTATGGCAATGGCAAACAAGTTTTTGTTTCAACTCATAATAAAAACAGTGTTGGAAACATAACACTTCCCAGGAGATGGAAATTCTGAGTTTCCCACGGGTTGGTGGGTGCAGATGCAGGCCCTGGCACTAGCATCATGAAAAGAAATAATTTCTTTTCTATGCCCACACTGTGCCTACAGTCTGAAGGATAGAGGCCTCCTTTTCCTGCAGCCCCAGGTATACATATCCTGTCTCTGAGTAAATAAAACAGTCCTAAGGATTTGTGAAGGTTCTCATAGACTGATAGGTCACAGTCCTGCAGGAACCACAGCAATGTGCATCCAAAAAAATAATCAGTGGAGCAGATGAATCTTCAAGAATTAAAGATCTTTGGGCTGTGTGACTGTGAACTTCTACACATCATCAAGTACACCACTGACTACAGCTTGGGAACAGTTGTACTAACTCAGATCTGCCTTTGAATCAATTGCAAAGCTTTTAATTAAAATAACAAAAGGAATATTAAAAATAGAAAGTAGCCATGAAATGGGTTCAGTCAAATGGGGTTTAGGGCACTTAATTTGTAACTTCACCTGTGTGTCCTGGCTAGAGGCCATGTCTGATGACAAGTCTTTTGAACTCCTACCAACCTGTAAGTATCATGTGTTCACACAAGTCATTCAATTCTTGGAGTTCCATACCTGCACTAATCCACCCAGGATTACTTGGAATTATTTTAGCCAAATATTTATGACTCAGTATATTTAAGTCAGAGCTCACCAGTGAAAACGGGAATGACATTCCTACGCACTGAATAAATAGAATTCTGCTAATTTTAAACACATACCCCCCTCCCCCCCCTTCTTCTTTTTAGGTTATCCTGTTTTAAGTCTACAGAAATTATAATTTTCATTCCAGTGGGAAAAGTATTTAGTGTGTATTAAAAGTGGAGGATTTTTTCCTACCTGAAAGTTTGGTGTAAACATCACCAAAGAGAGAACAAAATTAAAGAGTGAAAATACATAACATTTTCATGATACCTACAGCATTAGGAATTTAGTGCATACAATAATCCAAATATTAAACAGTTGGGGCTGTAAGTCTTTGCTTTCTTAACTGCTCAGTTGTACATAAAATAACACCAGATCTCTCAGATGTGTAAAGTCTGTCCCTGCTGTCCAGTGTATAGGTTAGCCTGTAATGACTCGACACGAGGTCTAGGAAATTCTGATTATCCCACTTACATTTTGTGCCATGTTACTGGACATTTTTATGTAAGCTATAGAATATACTCAATTTCAATATTCAATTTGAATATTAAGTATTCACGTAGAACAATAGGTTTTAGCTACTGTGCTCCAAAGATGTGAACCTGTATAACTTAGCAACACTGTTGGAACTAGATTGATCAGGATACTAGGGACCCAGTGGTTTTTGATAAGTAGTGGGTGGATGATGGTGGAAAGTAAGGGAATTAGTTTAGTAGGAACTGAATTCTCTTGGATGTGTCAGTGCTCATTAGAACTGGGCTGCTTTGCTGTCCTGCTCCTCTCACTGATCCATGAGACTTGGCTGCTCTGAGCCAGCAAGGTGAGCAGTGAAAGGCAAGGCTCTGTGCAGGGCTGAGGGAGATATACAGGTCTCCCTCTAAGCTGAAAGAGGTTTGTCTTGATTTTCAGGGAATCTAGGATTTTCTTCCTAGGAATGCTTCTGTATACGAGAGTAGAGGCAGTGACTGAAATAAGTACAGATATTAGATATTTTGGACCGTGTTCAGTGCAACAGAGGCAGAAGTAAGAATTCATGTCACAAGCCTGAATGATCAGGCACTAATTCTGGCCTGGTGTCCTACTTGGAACAATGTTTCCATAAGCAAGAAGGTACTTCTGGATGTGGATGAGAGGAATCAGGCCTGCTTGTGCAATTTAATATCCCAACAAGTTATGCTGCTTCTTTTAAATGGAAGTAACCACTGGATCTGTACAGACTGGCAGTTTGTAAATGGGGTTTTTACATGACTATTGAAGGTTTTTATATTTACTAAAAATTTGGCTCAAATGCGATTTTGAGAACCATACACATAATGGGAGGCCAGGCACAGGGTGTTAAAGACTGGGGAAGTTTTCCAGGCGTCTGTTAATTCTGGTCTTCTCCCTGCTTATTTAACTCCCACATCTATTTGGGGTTTATTTTCTACATTAAACTCTACAATTGCCTTTTATTACTTTTTATTTCTTATTTCCCCTGACCACTATCATTCATTTTATCATTTCTTATTCCTGTTACAACTTCCCTGTTATTTTCTGTTTCCAGGTTACTCTCTCCTCCAAAGTCAAACTTTACTTTCTTGCATTCTTCCCCATGCTTTTCTCAACAGAAGATACTGTTAAGGATTGTTGTGATACATTCATAACAAATCTTGGTCATGGCCTCTCTCTCCTCCTGGTCTAGAGAAGTGGTTAATGTTTTTATTGAAACTGTTGCAGGCAGAGTGATGACAGAGGATCTGTTCCTATCCTTGTGGAGACACCACTTGGATCAGCAGGGTGACAGTCGCAGGAAAGCATGAAATTGCAGAATATGCAGTTTTTGACTCTCTGTAGCTATTGCCAGTTAAATGAGAAATCATCTCTATGCAAGTTTGAGTACTGCTTTATAATTGTCCATGAACCACTGCTGTTAGTTCAGACCAGTGAGTGCACCAGTGTTATTCTGACACAGCTGGGAGCAGTGAGAGCCCTAAGTGGAAAAGACAATGACCTTAAAGTCAGGTCAATCAGAGTAGAATAATGCAACTATGCGGTGTAGACAAAGGTTGTGTAACAAAGCTAATTAAAAGCTGGTAAGTTGTTCTCACTGATAAGATGGATTATTCAGGAAGTAGTTTGCAATGTATTTTTTTGTCAAGTGATTAAACATGCTTATCTTGATCTACAGCTAGACACGTTTTAAAGAAAAAGGAATGAATAGTCTTTTAAACAGTACCTATTGATGTAATACTGCCAAAACCTGATGCTTCCTTTTCTAAGTTAAAGAAGAAAATACAGGCAAGATTTCTTTTAGATCTGCAGTTCTCCAAAGGGGTTTTGTATTTCAGTATGAACTGAACATGTGCATCCAACAATAAAATGTGGTTCAATCAATAACAGTGTTGCTGAAGCAACACTAGAAGCTTCCGAGATGCACAGAATGATTAATAAGAGATTAAAAAGTGACAACTATTAAAAAATGATAGTATCATGAGAATACAATATTGGATACTCAAGCAGTCTTCAATTCTGAAACAGAAGTATAGTGAGAATTTATGGCAATAATCTGGACAGTTTCAAAGGGATATTAGCATAGATCCACAATGGTAAAATTACTTCCTGGCTCAGACTGGGCGCCAAAAATAATAATTTCTCGAAGTGTTAAAGGAGTTTATTTTCTACATGATGTCTTATTTCAGTATTTGCCTCTATGCTCAAAAAAGGAGTAATGAATGAATGAAATTATGATCTAAAGAGTGTGCCAATTACATGAATTTCTGAATCAGGAGAATTGGATGGATAAAGTGAAAGGAAAAATTTGATCTAACACTGTGTTTGCAGCTCTGATCCCCTGTAGTTACATGTTTTGTTTCCTCTGTGGAAGGACAAGGGCATGCACACACTTGCAAGCTGTTGCTTTGCCCTGTGGGAATATATTGGCAGAGGATATGGTGAGTTTGCGGTCACTTGGTGGCACTACAAGGATGTGGTGTTTGTCACTTCAATAAAGAAGAAATTTGTTTCTGTAACATATGCAAGTCAGATATTCCTTAGTGCTAGCTTTGCTCCAGATAGTTTCCTCTGCAGAAATCTGTTTTCCTGACCTCATATGACCATATGTTGGCGTGAGTAAGGCTTTTCATACACTTTCATTCTTTTGGTCTTTCCTGAAAGTGATGACAGATGGGTTTGTTAGGGGTTCACGACTTGTCAGAAGCTGAACAGACAAGAGCAGCTGATTCCATGTACAGTCAGTTCTTCTAACAGTTATCTTTGCTCATTAATGGCTTAGGTCACTATCAGAAAGTCATCTTAGAATGAAAACAATTTGTGCCCTATGATCGCTTCACTCATGGTTTTTGCTCATATATAGAGAGGAAGTGATGGGATGTTGTTATAAAAGAGATGACTTAAGACAACCAGTTGGATGTTTGTTCTGACTGATCTGCTGGCTAACTTCTCCTTCATAACTTTTTGCTACCTGCATCTCACTGGTGATTGCATTTTGTTGAATGGAAGCCCACACAGAATCATGGAATGGTTTGGGTTGGAAAGGACCTTAAGATCATCTAGTTCCAATCCCCTGGCATAGGCAGGGATGCCTCACACAAGACCAAGGCTCTGTTCAGCCCAGCCCTGAACACTGCCAGGGATGAAGCATTTTCCACTTCTATGGGCAACCTGTTCCACTGCCTCACCACCCCC